GAGGGACACAAAGGGAGGTTGTGTGCTCAGGTGGCCGCAGAAATAAACATTAAATAAAAGGTACATAACTATTATTTTGTATTAAAGTCAGTCTGATATGAGTTTAAAAATACAATTTGCTATGATTCTATTGCTTCAATAGTACTGTGTTCACAGATAATTTAGGGATGTAGCCCTCACCCCTATAACAGCTGGCACTAACCCTTTTGCACAAACCAGACCTATATGACATCCTATTCCTGACAGAACAAAAGGTTAATCAGCAGCTCTTACTGACTTATCTTACTATGTATTGTGAGTGACTACAATGGGGAATTTACAATTTATTTAGATTTCAAATTCATGTAAATGTTTTTTTCTGTATCACAGAAGTTGAATTGTGTCTCTGTAACCTTTGCCATTAAAAACTAATTTTCTAGCGCTGTTTGGCTTAATGTTTAGAGGCCTTTTATGAGTTACGATAGAATAACACAAAGTCCAACTCAAAATCAGATAACCTGTATGTTGTGAACTGTGCAATCTACTGAATATACATCTCTGTGCAGAACCCCCTCAAGCTTGTTCTCATACAACTGCTTATTTCCTAACTTTCTGAGATGAGGTGGCCCAACTTCCAGCAAAGTGGGCAGAATTTATTAAAACTGGAGCAGACAGAATCTGGAGCAGTTGCCCATAGTTTGGAAGCTGCATCCAAAAGGCATCACAATGCTTTCCTATGGGATTTCTGGTGCTCTGTTCACACCAGTGCAGTCCGTTCCAGTGCAGTCCGAAAAAAATACTGCTGGCCTCATTTTAGCTCTATCGGATCACAACGGAACGCATCAAAAACGCATTTAAAAGCACCAGAATGCATCCAAAATGAAAAAATAGAATTAGAAGTGCTCTGGCAGGAAGTGACATAATGGTCTAATTTGCATTTTGGGAAAAAGCCAAAAACGCATCAGATTGCATCAAAATCGCGGTTAAAACGCGGCACACAGCATCGCACTGCAGCTGCGCAGATGCATGCAGATATGGTGGGAACTAGCCCTCAATCTTCAGTTTGTTCAGTTAAGCTTTGGACATGAAATGTAGAAGCTGATTGGTACAGCTGCTTCAGATTCTGCCTGCTCCTGCTTCAATCTTACGACATTTTCCTCAATGCCTGCTCCTGCTCCTGCTCCAATCTTACTACATTTTCCTCAATGCCTGCTCCTGCTCCTGCTCCAATCTTACTACATTTTCCCCAATGCCTGCTCCTGCTCCAATCTTACTACATTTTCCTCAATGTATTTAGGCAATGGGCAAACCCCTGTCACATTCCCAGGTATGGGGACCATTAAGAATTTATATGCCAAAAATGGCCTGAAAATTACTTCAAACACCCAAACATTATTTTCTGAAAGCCAAGACCATATAGAATAAAATGGTGGAAGTTACAAATGTTGCACGATCTTAGCGCAACTTATTATCAAACCCATACATTTTGTGAAAAATGCACTAAGTGCCCCAAAACACAATAAGATACCCATTTTTGATAAAATATAAAAGATAAGGTTATAACGAGTAAAGAGATACCCAACATTCCTAGATTAAAAATTGTGTGCATCTGTGAAACGGCAACAAAAATTCAGCACCCCAAAAAGTCCATAGATGATGCTTTAAAAGCCCCTACAGGTCATCAGTTTAGAAGTACACATAAATATTCGCCCTAGAATTATTGCTCTCACTCTGACGTGCGTGGCGATACCCAGCATGTGCAGGGCGATTATCGTTTTCATACGTAGGTACACCCGCCGCGTGTTTACGTGAAGACGCGCCTGCTCGCGGCGCCGGGGACATTAAACATTTTTATAATTTTTTTACATTTATATCATTTCATATTTTTTAAAACTGTTGTTTTTTTAAACTTTACTTTAATTGCTATCACATGGGCGGTCTTACAAGCCCCCCATGTGATAGCATATTGGTGGTGACAGGTCCTCTTTCAGGTGATACTGGGGGTCCAAAAGACCCCCAGTATCACCTTTACACTCTAAATAAGCCATTGAAGCGCTGATCGCACTTCAATAGCTTATTGCACAGCTTCAGGAGCCCAGCAATGACAGCTATGGGACCGGAAGTGATGCAATCCGCATCGTTCCCGGTCCCATAAAAAAGGTAGGAGATCGGTGAATGGACGTTCGCCGCTCTCCTCCCCAGCTTCCCGCTGACACCTGAGATGCTGGTCCCTGGTCCGCAGGAGGGGCAGCAGAAGCTAGGAAACACGGAGCGGGTGCCGGGCGGGGGATGAGGGTGCTAGAATCGCTTCTATTATAAAGCCGGCCGCCGGCTCTACAAATGTAAACAGAGTGGTTTAATGCCAGTGACGTACTATGCACGTCACTGGTCACTAAGGGGTTCAATAGAACCTTTTCATAGATATCTGTACATCAGACCAAAAAGATGGACAACTGAGGAGGAAAGAGGGACAGAGGGATTTGGTTCCCAATGAGGGATAGTTGAGAAATATGCAGGGGGGGTGAAACAGAATGTCACTCAAAATCAGGTTGCACAGTGGGAACTATCCTGCTTACAATAAAATCAATCCCTAGTGTGTTGCTTCATTCCACATAGTCTTGTGACCACTAAATACTCTCACCCTTCTCACAATATGTGGAGCTGATTTGTCAGACCTCCTGCCTTGGCCCAGAGGGTTTTATGAGGAAATTGTGCTGAAATAAACCACTACGCAGATTATTTCCTTTCAGATATTTCAGTATCTAAAACATCAGGTGATACAAGACTGGTAACTTATTTATCTTTTCTTTCCCAGTCTTCTGGTAGTGGCCATGTTAACTAAGGGCAGATTACTAGCTCTCCATTTACTTACTGAAACTCTGATACATGTGACTAGACATGTGACTATGTACATCATCTCAGTGGAGGAAAATGCCTTTCCAGATGACATTTCCCAGCAATGCTCTGCTGATGTAACCTTCCCAGGATGCAATGCTTTGGCACTTGCATCATTTGTGCCAGAACTGGACCAGGAAGTAGATGAACTCTATTTGTAAGTAAATGAAAAACAAGAATGTAATATGATTTTAAATCGGCATTAAGAGCTGCATGCTGCTGTGATTTTTAGTGAAAGGGGTTAAAGGTCCGCTTTAATGGTACTGAACTGAGGACGCCCGTGTGAAAGGGGCATTAAGTAATAGATATTCATTGAAAAAAGCAAAGACTTTTTAATAGAGGATCTCACAGCCAACAGGATCTCACACCCCTCCCTCCTTAACCTCTTGCCGTCCGCCCGTAGTAAAAAAACGGACGGACGGCACTGCAGCATCTGCGGGTGTTTCACATATAGGCGATCGGCGGGTCCATAGCCCGCCATTTAACACCGCGGATGTCAACTGGTTAACTGCACTTCTGGCACCTACCAATGTTAACAGGCGTCAAAGCCAGGTCTACTGTGTACCAAAGCTCTAGAGCTAGAGCTGGCCATAGACATCTGAGAAGCATTGGAAGTGCAAGATTTCACCATTTCACAATTGTTCTTGGAAAAGTTTCTCATAAACATTCTTATGGATAAAGAAGTTGAAGTGTTGCTCAACACACTTCAGACAGTCCTAGTTCTGGTTTAAGTAGGTAAAAATAGATATAATACCTGGCTTTCTACCCTGAGAACATTAGGTGGGATTTCTGCAGCCTTTCTATAGATGTGAGATTGGAGTCTAATCAGGAGAGTGTCATCTTATGTCCATGGGCTACCTAACTCAGATATAGGAAGTGACTGACAGAGGAATTCACAGTGTTGGATCTTCATGATGGGACTGAAAACAGCTCTATAGAAAATATTTCTTGTTGCCCATGATGACCAATCAGCTTCTGCAATCCAGCTATGGAATTGAGTAATGGATTCTTTCTGATTGCTACAATTAAAAAGGATGTTTCTGTTTGAACAGTTTTCGTACGTCAACCCCAATGACGCTGTGCAGGCAAGTATATATTCCCTACAGTCCTTCATATAATAATTGTAAATTAAACTGACAGATTTTATTTTCCTGACACCCTGACATAACCATGTAATTACATAGAGTACATAGTGCCTGTGTGAAAAGATGCAGCTGGCTCTTAGCTAGCTTTGCTGTCAATATATTCATCACTGACAACCACATGTGTGTATATACATTTCCTCTGTGTATCCTTCTGTTAGTCATTATCTATTTGTTATTCATTGGAGTGGAGAGGGATTCTGTTTCTCTGTGCACAGATTTTATTACACACTTAAAGGAAACAAATTTGTGAGCAAACATGATGCTGTAGTTCCTGGGTAAACATATAAGTGTTTGTATAAGGTTTGGTATAATACTGCCTCAGTAGAAGCATCTACATGCAGGACAGCTACAAATAACTCATGTGATTTAACCCTGAACTGCAGTTATATACATTGACTTTATATAGATCATAAAAACTCAGCTTGCTGGAAGATCTCTGATTGTTGTTGTACTTGCTCTTAGTTGCTGTTAATTATTATTCAGAAATAGTGCCAGGAGTTTATGCAGCGTGTTCGATGTGGCACACAGTTGAAACAATTGACAATTAAACACTGACCCAAGAAACAGAGCTCCTTACCCTGGTGAATTCACAAATAATAGAACAGTTAAACTCCAAACCTATCACTAGCTCTGCTGAAATCTATCACATTGCGAACAGAGAATTGCTAATGAATGGCCAATTAAAGATTAGATTCCATAAGTACTTGCAAACTCAGCTTCCATGCAAACACAGTTGTAGGACTAGTTAGTGAAATCCTATAGCCATCCTTCACTGGACTTCAGAAACAGACCTCTTAGCACTTATCCATACAACAATTCAGCAGGATTTTCTAAATCCTGATTACAGATTTACATTGCTCGTGTGCAGTTTGTCTTTAATGCGTATTTAAAAGCTGTTGAAAATGATAAAAGGATTAAGTCATTAGAAAAGCAAGCCAGGATTTCAGAGGACAGTATATAATACAATAAAGCTGAACTTACCGCATGTCCTAGAGTTCTAAAAGTTGCATCCAACAACATCACTTTGAATTTCTCTTCCACATTGTCTGGCAGAGGCTTGTAAATGTAGTATGCTAGCAGCACAGTCACCAGCACAAAGAACACTGATTTTGATGCCATGTCCAACTCCAGTGCCCACGTCTGTCAAGTGATTAAAGCCTCTTCTCACCGACTGTGTTGTAAGTCAGCAGCAGAACTGATAGGGCAAGTTAATCTGCTGGACCAGAGCCCACTCGTCATCTGATCTCCACTGCAGCCTACTGAAATGCTGTGGCAGGCAGCTGGGTAGATCATTACTAGGAGGCTTTGTCACAGTAGTAGCACAGATCATCCTGCCTAGGTTACACACCCATATTAACACATCATGCCATAAATGATTTTTTGTCAATTGTAGAGGTAGTGATAACCCCCTAAGGAGCTGCTGGATTTTTTGGCCCTCCTAGTGCTCCTTTAGTTGATCTGGTCCACAGCTACCCCAAAAAACACTCACTGACCCACTAGCAGTAACTGAAAGACATTCATTCTGTCAGTCTTTTCTTACAGATTGTTTTAGCTTATTGTCCAGGGGGGAAAGGGTTTCGGATTACAGGATACCTTAACAAAGTATTCCCTATGCTCAATTGACCTCAGCCCTTCTTACAGGCTAGTAGTATGCCTTTAAGCCGAGACCAGCAATCTTCAGTTGTGTACCTTTAAACTGGGACAGTCTTCAATTGTGTGCCTTTAACCTGGGACAGGCAAGGGCCCGAGAATACTCTTGTGAAGGTGCTCCCCTACCTGTCGTTCACGTCCTAGTATGGTTCCCATTCTTCTGGACATGGCTCTGAAATTGTTTACTCCCCAGACAACAGGGCTGGGAGGCAAATGACCATTCTCTTCAGCTAAATACTCTCCAGGCAAAGCATGGGATGTAAAGGACCATTCTAGAAGGTCTCCCTAAATATTTATCTCCTTCATCAAAAAGATGTAAGCCGGCAAAAAAAAATGTTGGTTCCTTTCGTTTCAGATTTTTATTTTGGCTTTTGGGATTCAGGTCAGAAAGTCAATTAGTTTCAGTATTTGGATTCTTCCGAATTAAACATTTTAATTAATTTCGGATGAGTTAAAGGAGAACTATGAGGTGAGTGCTTTTTACTCACCTCATAGTTCTAGCCGACCTGTGACAATGAGACTGTCACAGGTCGGCTTAGGAGATCGGGAGGTGAGCGAACGCATACCGTTACCCTAGGAAGAACTATGGGGAAAAGCCTTAAACCCATAGTTCTCCTTTAACCACCTTCCGTCCATGGCCGTTTGTGAACGGCCTTACGGGAGTCTGCTAGGAGCGGGAGGGCGTCTTAAGACGTCCTGCCCCTCCCCCCTCTCGTGTGCGGCACTCAGCGCGCACACGAGAGGGAAAACTGTGAGCATGTAAACAGCCAGCGATTGCTGTTTACATACAAGCGATCAGGCGTCTCTAGAGACGCCCGATCGCTTGCAGGAGCTGTGGGTGTGCGGCCTCCCCCAAGTACCTATGTCCCGCCGTCTCCTCGTCGCCGCTGCCGGTCCGTGATCCGATGTGGCCGGTGCGGCTGGGACCGGCACGGCAACGCTCTATCAGCAGATCAAAGGGAGATCATTACTCGATCTCCCTTTGATCTCTCTTCCTGTCCCCGAATGCAGGAAGTGATTATGTTACATCACTTCCTGCATTCAGTGTCACACTCACAGTGTCCGGTGCAGAACACTGGAGAGAAGCTGATGAAGCAGATCTCTGCTTCATCAGCTTCTGTGGGGGTCCCTAGGTGATATCAGAGGTCTTGGAGACCCCTGATGTCTCCATAAAGAGGACCTGTTTGGTGAACTGGCTATTACATAGGGGATTTCTTAGTCCCCTATGTTATAGCAATAAAGTTGTCTAAAAAAAGTTTAAAAAAAAAAATACAGCATTAAAAAAAATAAGAAGCTAAAAAAATATTCACAAATAATAATTTAAAAAAATAACACAAAAAATGAGTCCTGGCCAGGTAGGGGGTCTAAACACCTGGTCTTCAAGTGGTTAAACAATATTTACGAACGAAAATCCTTGCAGAAAAGTGACATTTAAAAAAGTGACATGTTTTTTTTTTTTTCTTTTTAACGTTTGACAGTCCACTAAAACAATAAAAAAAAGTGTGGAGTTCTCCCCCAATTCATTCCAAAATTTCAGATTATCCCCAACCAGACCCTTAATCCGAGTAGCAGCCTGGCAGAGCAGGAAAGGGGGGGGGGGATAAGCGTGCACCCCCCCGCTTCATACCAGGCCAGTTGCCCTCAACATGGAGAGGGTGCTTTGCCATCATGTTAATGAGGACAAGGGCCTCTTGCCCACAACCCTGGCCCAGTGGTT